CTTCTGGAAGAAAACACAGTATAAAAGATTTGTGACCTTGGGTGGGGTAGGCAAAGATTTCTTTTTTTTATTTTTTTGAGACTGAGTTTCACTCTTGTTGCCCAGGCTGAAGTGCAATGGCACGATCCTGGCTCACCGCAACCTCCGCCTCCTGGGTTCAAACCATTCTCCTCCTCCATTCTACTCAGCCTCCCGAGTAGCTGGGATTACAGGCACCCATCACCACGCCCCACTAATTTTGTATTTTTAGTAGAGACAAGATTTCTCCATGTTGGGCAGGCTGGTCTCGAACTCCCGACCTCAGGTGATCCACCCGCCTCAGCCTCTCAAAGTGCAGGGATTACAGGCGTGAGCCACCGCGCCCAGCCTAGCAAAGATTTCTTAGGACACACAAATACAAGTCTGCAAAAAACAAAACAAAAACAGACAAAAAACCACAACCTGATAACCTGGACTTCACCAAAATTTAAAAGCGTACTTCAAAAAAAGAAAATTTCAAAAAAGAAAAAGCAAGTCACAGATTGGGAGAAAATATATGTAATATTTATATTTAACAAAAGACCTATCAAGAATAAAGAATTCTTACAATGCTTTAACAAGCGCAAAACCCAGTTTTTAGGTGAACAAAAGACGTGAACAGACACTTCTTTTGTGAACATATACAAATGGCCAGTAAGCCCATGAAAAGATGCTCATTAGTCACCAGAGAAATACAAATTAAAACCACAGTGAGATACCTTTATACTTTCACTAGACTACTCAAGATCAAAGACTGATGACTGGCAAGGACATGGAGCAACTAGAATTCTCATAATCACACTGGAAAAGTTTGGCAATTTCTTTTAAACATTCAGTTACCTATGACCCAGCAATGACGTGCCTAGATATTTATCCCAGAGAAATGAAAACATATTTCCACAAAAAGATTTGTACTTAAATGGTCATAGCATCTTCATTTAAGCCAAACGATGAAAATAACCCAAATGTGCAATAATAAACAAATTTTGTTATAGTCACACAATGGAATACTACTGAGCAATACAAAAGTGCAAATTACTGAATTAACATGGATAAAGCTCAAAAACCATTTTGGTCCACAGTGGTGGCTTATGCCTGTAATCCCAACACTTCGGGAGGCCAAGGTGGGAGGATCACTTGAGCCCAGGAGTTCAAGATCATCCTGGACAACACACCAAGACCCCATCTCTACAAAAAATATTTTTAGGCCGGGTGTGGTAGCTCACGCCTGTAATCCCCGCACTTTGCGAAGCCAACGTGGGTGGATCACGAGGTCAAGAGATCGAGACCATCCTGACCAATATGGTGAAACTCCGTCTCTACTAAAAATACAAAAATTCATCAGGCATAGCTACTCGGGAGGCTGAGGCAGGAGAATCGCTTGAACCCAGGAGGCAAAGGTTGCAGTGAGCTGAGGTCACGCCACTGCACTCCAGACTGGCAACAGAGCAAGACTGCGTCTCAAAAAAAAAAAAAAAAAATTTTTTTTTTTTAAATTAGCCAAGAGTGGTGACATGCACCTGTAGTCCCAGCTACTCAGGAGGCTGAGGTGTGAGGATCTCTTAAGTTCAGGAGGTCAAGGCTGGAGTGAGTCATGACTGTGTCACTGTACTCCAGCCTGGGTGACAGAGACCCTACCTCTGGAAAAAAAAACAAAAAAACTGCTGAAAGAAGCCAGACACAAAAGGGTAGATATTATTTGATTCCATTTATATGAAGTCTTAGGAAAGTCAAAACTGACCTACAGAGAGAAACCAGAACACTGACTGCCTCAGGTGAGGATGGAGGTGGGGAAGGAGCAGGAGGAGGGGTGCACTGATGGAACTATTCTGTATCTCCATTGCGGCAATGCAGTTACAGGGGTGCGTACATTTGTCAAAGTTCATCAATCTGTACACTTAAAATAGGTGCGATTTGGCTGGGCGTGGTGTCTCATGCCTGTAAATTCCAGCACTTCGGGAGGCCAAGGTGGGCAGATCATGTGAGGTCAGAAGGTTGAGACCAGCCTGGCCAACATGGCAAAACCCTGTCTCTACTAAAAGTACAAAAATTAGCCAGGCAAGGTGGCATGCACCTATAACCCCAGCTATTAAGGAGGCTGAGGCATGAGAATTGCTTGAACCTGGGAGGCAGAGGTTGCAGTGAGCTGACACTGCGCCACTGCACTCCAGCCTGGGCAACAGGAGACTCTGTTTAAAAAAAAAAAAAAAAGGTACAATTTACTATATGTAAGTGAAATGTCAATGACAGTGATTTTTCTAAAAAGCAGTTATTTCTGTGGAATAGAAGTGGACAAGGTAGGGCAGAAGGTCAGTAATTACATTAAACACCTCTTTCTTTCTTCTTTATAAATGAAATAGAGACAGGATCTTGCTATGTTGCCCAGCCTGGTATCAAACTCCTTCTTGGCCTCAAGGGATCCTCCTGCCTTAGCCTCCCCAAGTGACATTAACACATGTGAGCCACCATGCCCGGCCATAAACACTGTTCTGTTCTGTTTGATTTTAAAACCACACGCATATATGAGAGGAATTGAAAAAGTACATGAAAAATGTGCATTATAAAAAAACTATCCATGCATTTCAAAAATTTTTTGCACTGAAATAAACTCATACGAACTTGTTATACCGTGTCTGAACAAGATCTAGTGTGAGGCACTAAGAAGGATTAGACATCAATTTGAAAAGAGTCCCATCAGAGCAACACGAATTCTGCTAAAATGGAAGCAACAATGAACACCAAATTCAAGGTGAAGCTTGGGTGGAAGAAGGGTGAAATCACCAATGCTTTATGAAAGAAAAGTATATGGGGACAATGCTCCAAAGAAACCAGCTGTTTACAAATGGATAACTCATTTTAAGGGACAAGGCCAGGCACAGTGGCTCATGCCTATAATCCCAAAGACTTGGGAGGCAAGGCAGCAGAGCTGTTTGGAGGCCAAGAGTTCGAGACTAGCTTAGGCAAGATGGTGAAACCCCATCTCTACACAAAATTTTAAAAAAAAATTAGCTGGGCACGGTGGCATGCACCTGTAGTCCCAGCTACTCCAGAGGCTGGGGTGGGAGGATCACTTGAGCCCAGGAGTTAGAGGTTGCAGTGAGCTATGATCGTACCACTACACTCTAGCCTGAGAGACAAAAAACGAGACTGTCATTTAAAAAAAAAAAAAAA